GTAAAAATCCCGAACACCCAAAAAGAGCCCTTAAAAACAATGGAATTGGTTAAGATTCGCTGCGACAGTCGACTCGCTATTCCTAGAATTCGTGCGAAGAGAGCAGATGATCGTATGATAGCTGAAATGGTCACCAGATATCATCAAATATAGCTAAGAAGTTAAAAACCATTGCGATTAAGCCAGTTTTCAAACAAAAAAAACATTGAAATTCTTCATTCATGCAGCAGGAGGAAGAAGTCAAGAGATAAAAACATACAGAAAAGTTTTAACGCCCTTTTTTAGATTTAAAATTCTCTAGTTTTCACATTTAAATTTTTTGAATTTTTTGTTTTTCCACTTTTTCGATCTGCAATTCAATTTTTCATTTTTTTTTATTCTTTAATTTTACGATTTGCAACCTTTCGATTTTTCGCTGTAAAATTTTTCATTTTTTCGATTTTCCAATTTCTGGAGGTTTCAATTTTTCAATGTACAGTTTTTCGGTTTTCAATTTTTCGATTCGTCAATTTTTGATTTGCAATTTTTCTACTTTTAATTTTAAATATGTACCTAAGAATAATTTTAGTTTTTAAAATCTTTGACTTTTTCAATTCAACAGTTCTATAATACATATTTCGATTTTACAATTTTTAGGTTTCGGATTTTTCGATTCGATTCGTTTTTTCTTCTTTTCAATTCAGTAATTTTTTCGATTTTTTCACTTTTGTAATCAGAAACAAAAAAATGGAAAAAAATGCAGAATTGTAAAATTGAAAAATCAAAAACGAAAAAAAAATTGGAAATGAACTTGGACCACTGAAGACAATCAGATAGATAACTGGAAATCCAAACATTGCAACATTGAAAAAGTTTAACATTGGAAAATCGAAGAATTGACAATCAATGATTGAAAAGTTGAAAAATTGAATAAACGTAAAATTATAAAATCGAAAGAAGCATTGAAGAAATAAAGGACGTAAAAAAACAAAAAAAAAAAAAAACCACTGAAACCGCTTCATTCATTCAGGAGCCACGGTGCCACAGACGAACACATAGACAAACAGAGACTTCGAAGTATAACACCCTTCTCTTAATGAATTGGGGGTTAACAGAATCGTCTTCAATTTTTTGATTTGCGATTTTTCAATTTTTTCTTCCTTCAATTTCTAGATTTTGCAATTTTTGATTTAGAATTTCTCTAGTTCTCAATTTTTAATTTCTTCAGTTTTCCGATATGCAACTCTTTGAATTTTCATTTAAAAATTTATCATTTTTTTCGTTTTTCCATCTTCCGGACGTTTAAATTTTTCGATTTTTCAGTTTTTACGTCTTCAATTTTTCGATTTGCAATTTTTCGTTCGATTTTCTTTTATTTTATTGCAATTTTTTTCAACGTCATAAATTTATAATGTTTTTTCAATGTAAATTTTTCCATTTTTCAATTTGCAGTTTTTCGGTTTTTTCAGTTTTAGATATTTATTTCAGCATTCAATTTTTCAACTTTTCGTTTTGTCAATTTTTGATTCGCAATTTTCCTAATTTTTATTGTAAATATGTAATAATTATTTTAATTTTTAAAATATCTGAGTTTTTCAATTCAACGATTCTATCCTTTGTTCTTATTTTCAATTTTTTGATTCATTAATTTTTCGATTTTCAGTTTTTCAGTGCTTCAGTCTTTCGTTTCTTCAGTTTTGCAATTTGCAGTTTTTCGATTTTCCACTTTGTCGTTTTTACAATTTTTTATATCTTCATTTTTTCGATTTTTCAGTTTTTCAATTTTTCAGCTTTTCGAATCAGAAAAAAAATGGGAAAATTGCAAAGTTGTAAAATTGAAAAAGCAAAAATGAAAAAAAGATATAAAATGAAAACTTTGAAATCTAAAAATTGAAACTGAAGAACTTGAAAAATTGAAGAAAAATTAAAAAATCGAAAGATTAAAAATTCAGAAACTTAGAGACCGAAAAAGTGCAAAATTAAAATAATCGGAAAATCAAGACAATTGGAAATCCAAAAATTGTAAAATTGAGAAATTTAAAAATTGGAAAATCGAGGAATTGAAAAATCAAAGACTGAAAAGTTGAAAAATTAAATAAACGAAAAATTATAAAATGGAAAGAACCATTGAAGAAATAAAGGAAATGAAAAAACGAAAAATTGTGATAAAAAAATCGAGAAAATTAAGATAAAAAAATCGGGAAAATGAAAAATAAAAATCAAGAATTTGAAACACTGTGGAAAAACCGAATAATTAAAAACTGAGAAACTCAAAAATCGAAAAATGAAAAATTGTGGTGTCGAAAAATTGAAAAATTCAGAACTCAAGAAATAAAAAAGTTGGAAAGATTCAAATTGAAAAAACGAAAAATTATGAAACCGAGACATTGAAAAACGCAAAAGTTGAAAAATGAAAGAAAATGAAAAACGAAAATTTGTGATAATAAAATCGAGAAAATGAAAATTATAAAATCGAGAAAATGAGAAATAAAAGTCAAGAACTTGAAACACTGAGGAAACGAAAACATGAAAAACAGAATAATTAAAAATTGGGAAACTGAAAAATCGAAAAATGAAAAATCGTCGAAAAATTGCAAAATTGAAAAATTGAAGAAACGAAAAATTGAAAAATTCGGAAGTCAAGAAATAGAAAAGTTGGAAACACGAAAAATTATGAAATCGAAAGGAAATGAAAAAAGAAAAATTGTTATAATAAAATTGAGAAAATGAAAACTAAAAAAATGGAGAAACGTAAAGACCGAAAAAGTGCAAAATCGAAAAAAAAATCCTAATATTGAAATTTAAAGTAACTAGAAAATTGGATACCTGGAAAATCCAAAAATAATAAGACTGAAAAATTTAAAAATGGAAAGAACCACTGAAAAAATTAAGAAAATTAAAATAAAAAAATCGGAAAAACGAAAAATAAAAATCAAGAATTTGAAACACTGTGGAAAAACCGAATAATTAAAAACTGAGAAACTCAAAAATCGAAAAATGAAAAATTGTGGTGTCGAAAAATTGAAAAATTCAGAACTCGAGAAATAAAAAAGTTGGAAAGATTCAAATTGAAAAAACGAAAAATTATGAAACCGAGACATTGAAAAACGCAAAAGTTGAAAAATGAAAGAAAATGAAAAACGAAAATTTGTGATAATAAAATCGAGAAAATGAAAATTATAAAATCGAGAAAATGAGAAATAAAAGTCAAGAACTTGAAACACTGAGGAAACGAAAACATGAAAAACAGAATAATTAAAAATTGGGAAACTGAAAAATCGAAAAATGAAAAATCGTCGAAAAATTGCAAAATTGAAAAATTGAAGAAACGAAAAATTGAAAAATTCGGAAGTCAAGAAATAGAAAAGTTGGAAACACGAAAAATTATGAAATCGAAAGGAAATGAAAAAAGAAAAATTGTTATAATAAAATTGAGAAAATGAAAACTAAAAAAATGGAGAAACGTAAAGACCGAAAAAGTGCAAAATCGAAAAAAAAATCCTAATATTGAAATTTAAAGTAACTAGAAAATTGGATACCTGGAAAATCCAAAAATAATAAAACTGAAAAATTTAAAAATGGAAAGAACCACTGAAAAAATTAAGAAAATTAAAATAAAAAAATCGGAAAAATGAAAAATAAAAATCAAGAACTTGGAACACTGAGGAAACGAAAACATGAAAAACCGAATAACAAAAAATTGGGAAATTGAAAAATTCGAGAAACAAAAAACTGAAAAATTCGGAAGTCGAGAAAAAGAAAAGTTGGAAAAATTAAAGTCGAAACTCAAAGAAAATGAAAAACGAAAAATCATGATCATAAAATCCTGAAAATGAAAAGTAAAAATCATGAACTTGTAAAACTGAGGAAACGAAAAAATGAAAATGTCTTGAAACAGACAAAGGTTTCAAAGTTACAACACCCTTCTTTTTGCATCGGTGGATAAGGAATCATGAGTGTAAAAAAATATTGCTTTAATGGTTTCATCTGACTTGACTTGACCAAAATTCATCTGGCTTCAACATGACCTGATTTGATCTGCTTTGATTTGATCTGACATGGGCATACCTGATCTGAGTACACCTGTTTTGGCTTAACTGACCTGACACGACCTACAATAACACCAAACCTAACCCGATTTGATCTGAACCGCTCTGGTCTGCTTTGATCTGACCTAACATGACCTGATCTCCTCTGATCTGATTTTAATAGACAGATTTCGCCTGACTGATTCTACTTGACCTGACTTGACCGCTCTGATATGATGTGACTTCATATGACCACATTTGACCTTAGTAGAACTGAATTGAACTAACTGACCTAACATGACCTGGACTGATATGATCTGATTTGATTTAAACCGTCCTGACTTTAACAGATGTGACCTGACTTAACCTTGATTTGACTTGACGAGAACTGATTTGGCTTAATTAACCTGAGGTGACCTGGGGTCACATGACTGATTTGGTCTGAGCCGTCCTAATCTGCCTTAATCGGTCCTGACAGCACCTAACCCGATCTGCCTTTAATGGATATGACTTGAATTGATCCGACTTGACTTTGACGGATATGAACTGACTTGGCCTGACATGAACTGCTCTGATCTGCCTTGACCTGACCAGATATGATCTTGTCTGACCTGAGTAGAATGATGTGGCTTAAGTTAAGATTATTTTAACTCTTAAAAAAAACATCAGAAGTCTCCAAGATCCACTCAAGAACACTGCACTAGAGGTCCCAACATCTTCCAAAATAACCTCCAGAGAAAATTTTTTAATGAAATTCACCTTAACTGGCGATAATTTTGTAAACCTAATATTTGAACTTGAGGACGTCAAAATCACGATTTATTCTATAATATACCACCCGCACATGCGCTTAATAAATTTTTGCCGCCATCCCACCCACCACTGGCGTCTCCGGCGCGAAAACTGCAATCTCCGTGACAGCTCGATGAATATTTATACACCGATCGCTTTAAGTCATCATTAGAAAACTCATCCTGCACTTGCCCACTTGACGCAAATAACAAGCTCCGTACTCACCTATATTATCCAACTGGTCGCTCTATTAACATTTAAGTCACATTTCTAATTCGGCCAGAATCCGAGAAACTGCACAAATGTCGCAACAAAAGGCTCTCCGGCTTTGTGTCAATATTCGACCTTTGCGGAATTGAGAGAAGTGCATTCGAAAAGCAAGGCCAAATCGGTAATTAGGAGAATGTTGCACTGCACTCGGACTAGCACCGAAACATTTAAAAATCTGGGGTTGTGACATTTTCGGAAGGGTAGCCAGGAGCAAAATTTTTCGCAACCGATTGGTCCGGACAAGAAGGAAAACGGCTGAAAAGTTATGGATTCCGACTGCATTTTAATGGTGGTACCGTTTTAGACAAAGTAAGTTAATTTTAAACATTCACCTGTTACTTTCAGTGCTCAAAAATATACTAGTGGTTAGTTAATGTCAATGTCAAGCGTGATGGAATGATTTCATTGTGGCATCATCTTCGCAAAGTTCAGAAGCAACATGGACAGTCCTGTTTATGATACCCCGAAAAAACTATAAATAATGGGATCGATCGACTGCTCGTTACACCAACCACCTTCTCACCCAGTGGCCAATTATTTTTCCAGCTGCGTCCACACATCGCAATAAATCTAAAGAAGTTTACGCGTTTGTTGCAAGCGGAAAATATTCACCATAATCACCGACCCATATGGGCAGTTAATGAACCTACTCGTCGGACTTCGTAAGTCCAGACCATCGACAAGCTAACTCCAAACAGATAGCAAACACGTTCTAATTGGATGAGATCTAGTGAAATAAATCACATTTATATTCTGCGCGATTGTGGCATTTGAAACCCGCTACAAATTGTCTGCTGCAAAAACCCGCCTACCAGGTACGTATGCTGGTTGGTACTGCCACAAGTACCACTCTCTCATAAAGCGCGAATATTTTAACACAGAAAAGTACCTTAAGCGGTGCACGCTAGATCAGGAATTTTGAGTGCTTTGGTTTTATGCCCTTGGTTTTACTGTAAAATAAAGGACGTTATGAGGTAATAAAAGAGCACCTTTTGATTTTTTTCGTAAATGCACTTCAGCTTGGTAAGTCGCAGTTTCGAAGACCTAACACATCCCGATTCTTTGAAAAATTATTTAAACCAATTTTTATTTTTTTTGAGTTGAGTTTTTTCAATTTTTCGATTTGATTTCACGAGTTTTCAATTTTTCAGTTTTTCGATTTGCAGTTTTTCGTTTCAGTTTTTTTTTTCAATTAATTTTTTTGTTTCTATTTCATAATTTTTTGTTTTGATTTTTTTTTCCATTTGTCGATTCTTTAATTTTTCATTTCTTCAAAATTTCGATTGGCAACTTTTCGTTCCGGTTTTTTATTTTTTGTTTCAGCAATTTTTCGATTTTTTCATGTTCGATTTTAACATTCTTTGTATTTTCAAGTTCAATTTTTTGTTTTTTCAACTTTTCGATTTGCGATTCTTCGAGTTTTTATTTTACAATTTTTCAGCTTTTCGATTTTCCAACTTCTAAATTTTTTTTGTTTTTCCAATTTCAGATATTTTGTTTTCTCGGTTTTCGTTTTTTAAAATGTTTCAGTTTTTCGGTTTTCATATATTGGATTTTAAAACTTCTTCATTTTTTCTGCTTTTTTTTCAATTTCTCGACATTTAATTTTTCAATTTTTCGATCTTTCAGTGTCACGATTTACAATCTTGACGATTCTATAATTTTTCGATTGTACTATTTCCATTTGATTCGTTTTTTCGTTTTTGGAATTTTCCGATTCATTATTTTTTCGATTTTTAGTTTTCCAATGTTTCAATTTTTCGTCTCTTTAGTTTTTCGAATTGTGGTTTTCAGTTCTTCATTTTATTGTTTCTTCAATTTCTGCATTCTGCAATTTTTCGATTTGAAATTTCTCGACTTTTCTTTAATTTTTCATTTCTTCAAATTTTCGATTTACAACTTTTCATTTCGGTTCTTTATTTTCTTCAATTTTACAATTTTTCTAATTTTCAAAGTTCGAGTTTATAATTTTTTTGTTTTTTTTTAATTTGGATTTTTTCAATTTTCCGATTTCCAATTGTTTTTAAATTATTCAGTTTTTCGATTTTTCAACTTTTATATGCAATTGAACAATTGAACAATTTGTAATTTTACGAGTTTTTCATTTTTAATTTTTCAAGTTTTTGATTTGCAATTCTTCGAGTTTTTATTTTACAATTTTTCAGTTTTTCGTTTTTCTAACTTCTGGAAGTTTCAATTCTTAGATTTTGCAGACTTTTGAGTTGTAATTTCATGAGCATTTAATTTTTGATTTTTCAATTTTTCCTTTTGCAGTTCTTCACTTTTTCATTTTTGTTTGTTTCTTCAGTTTTACAATTTTAGTTGTTGTTTTTAAATTTTACAGCTTTTCGATTTTCCAACTTCTAATTTTTTTTGGTTTTCCAATTTGAGATATTTTGTTTTCTCGGTTTTCGTTTTATAAAATGTTTCAGTTTTTCAGTTTTCAGATATTGAATTTTAAAACTTGTTCATTTTTTCTGCTTTTTTTTCAATTTCTCGACATTTAATTTTTCAATTTTTCGATCTTTCAGTGTTACGATTTACAATCTTGACGATTCTATAATTTTTCGATTGTACTATTTCCATTTGATTCGTCTTTTTTTTTTTGGAATTTTCCGATTCATTATTTTTTCGATTTTTAGTTTTACAATGTTTCAATTTTTCGTCTCTTTAGTTTTTCGAATTGTGGTTTTCAGTTCTTCATTTTATTGTTTCTTCAATTTCTGCATTCTGCAATTTTTCGATTTGAAATTTCTCGACTTTTCTTTAATTTTTCATTTCTTCAAATTTTCGATTTACAACTTTTCATTTCGGTTCTTTATTTTCTTCAATTTTACAATGTTTCTATTTTTCAAAGTTCGAGTTTATAATTTTTTTGTTTTTTTTTTTAATTTCGATTTTTTCAATTTTCCGATTTCCAATTGTTTTTAAATTTTTCAATTTTTCGATTTTCCTTAGTTTTACATGCTTAGATTTTTAATTGTTCAATTTGTAATTTTACGAGTTTTTCATTTTTAATTTTTCAAGTTTTCGATTTGCAATTCTTCGAGTTTTTATTTTACAATTTTTCAGTTTTTCGTTTTTCTAACTTCTGGAAGTTTCAATTCTTAGATTTTGCAGACTTTTGAGTTGTAATTTCATGAGCATTTAATTTTTAATTTTTCAATTTTTCCTTTTGCAGTTCTTCACTTTTTCATTTTTGTTTGTTTCTTCAGTTTTACGATTTTAGTTGTTGTTTTTAAATTTTACAGGTTTTCGATTTTCCAACTTCTATTTTTTTTTGTTTTTCCAATTTCAGATATTTTGTTTTCTCGGTTTTCGTTTTTTAAAATGTTTCAGTTTTTCGGTTTTCATATATTGGATTTTAAAACTTTTTCATTTTTTCTGCTTTTTTTTTCAATTTCTCGACATTATTTTTCAATTTTTCGATCTTTCAGTGTCACGATTTACAATCTTGACGATTCTATAATTTTTCGATTGTACTATTTCCATTTGATTCGTCTTTTCTTTTCTGGAATTTTCCGATTCATTATTTTTTCGATTTTTAGTTTTCCAATGTTTCAATTTTTCGTCTCTTTAGTTTTTCGAATTGTGGTTTTCAGTTTTTCATTTTATTGTTTCTTCAATTTCTGCATTCTGCAATTTTTCGATTTGAAATTTCTCGACTTTTCTTTACTTTTTCATTTCTTCAAATTTTCGATTTACAACTTTTCATTTCGGTTCTTTATTTTCTCCAATTTTACAATTTTTCTATTTTTCAAAGTTCGAGTCTATAATTTTTTTTGTTTTTTTTTAATTTCGATTTTTTCAATTTTCCGATTTGCAATTGTTTTTGAATTTTTCAGTTTTTCGATTTTCCAAATTTTATATGCTTCGATTTTCAATTGTTCAATTTGTAATTTTACGAGTTTTTCATTTTTAATTTTTCAAGATTTCGATTTGCAATTTTTCGATTGTACTATTTCCATTTGATTCGTCTTTTCTTTTTTGGAATTTTCCGATTCATTATTTTTTCGATTTTTAGTTTTCCAATGTTTCAATTTTTCGTCTCTTTAGTTTTTCGAATTGTGGTTTTCAGTTCTTCATTTTATTGTTTCTTCAATTTCTGCAGTCTGCAATTTTTCGATTTGAAATTTATCGACTTTTCCTTAATTTTTCATTTCTTCAAATTTTCGATTTACAACTTTTCATTTCGGTTCTTTATTTTCTTCAATTTTACAATTTTTCTAATTTTCAAAGTTCGAGTTTATAATTTTTTTTGTTTTTTTTTAATTTCGATTTTTTCAATTTTCCGATTTCCAATTGTCTTTAAATTTTTCAGTTTTTCGATTTTCCAACTTTTATATGCTTCGATTTTCAATTCTTCAATTTGTAATTTTACGAGTTTTTCATTTTTAATTTTTCAAGTTTTCGATTTGCAATTCTTCGAGTTTTTATTCAAATTTTCGATTTACAACTTTTCATTTCGGTTCTTTATTTTCTTCAATTTTACTATTTTTCTATTTTTCAAAGTTCGAGTTTATATTTTTTTTGTTTTTTTTTAATTTCGATTTTTTCAATTTTCCGATTTGCAATTGTTTTTGAATTTTTCAGTTTTTCGATTTTCCAACTTTTATATGCTTCGATTTTCAACTGTTCAATTTGTAATTTTACGAGTTTTTCATTTTTAATTTTTCAAGTTTTCGATTTGCAATTCTTCGAGTTTTTATTTTACAATTTTTCAGTTTTTCGTTTTTCTAACTTCTGGAAGTTTCAGTTCTTAGATTTTGCAGCCTTTTGAGTTGTAATTTGAGGAGCTTTTAATTTTTAATTTTTCAATTTTTCGTTTTGCAGTTCTTCATTTTTTCATTTTTGTTTGTTTCTTCAGTTTTACAATTTTAATTTTTGTTTTTAAATTTTTCAGCTTTTTTATTTTTTTTTTGTTTTTCCAATTTGAGATATTTTGTTTTCTCGATTTCGTTTTTTAAAATGTTTCAGTTTTTCAGTTTTCAGATATTGGATTTTAAAACTTTTTAATTTTTTCTGTTTTTTTTTTCAATTTCTCGACATTTAATTTTTCAATTTTTCGATCTTTCAGTGTTACGATTTACAATCTTGACGATTCTATAATTTTTCGATTGTACTATTTCCATTTGATTCGTTTTTTCGTTTTTGGAATTTTCCGATTCATTATTTTTTCGATTTTTAGTTTTCCAATGTTTCAATTTTTCGTCTCTTTAGTTTTTCGAATTGTGGTTTTCAGTTTTTCATTTTATTGTTTCTACAATTTCTGCATTCTGCAATTTTTCGATTTGAAATTTTTCGACTTTTCCGTAATTTTTCATTTCTTCAAATTTTCGATTCACAACTTTTCATTTCGGTTCTTTATTTTCTTCAATTTTACTATTTTTCTATTTTTCAAAGTTCGAGTTTATAATTTTTTGTTTTTTTTTTTTTAATTTCGATTTTTTCAATTTTCCGACTTCCAATTGTTTTTAAATTTTTCAGTTTTTCGATTTTCCAACTTTTATATGCTTCGATTTTCAATTCTTCAATTTGTAATTTTACGAGTTTTTCATTTTTAATTTTTCAAGTTTTCGATTTGCAATTCTTCGAGTTTTTATTCAAATTTTCGATTTACAACTTTTCATTTCGGTTCTTTATTTTCTTCAATTTTACTATTTTTCTATTTTTCAAAGTTCGAGTTTATAATTTTTTTTGTTTTTTTTTTTAATTTCATTTTTTCAATTTTCCGATTTCCAATTGTTTTTAAATTTTTCAGTTTTTCAATTTTCCAACTTTTATATACTTCGATTTTCAATTGTTCAATTTGTAA